ACGTAGAATTTAAAAGGCTAAAGGGATGCTTTCCTGGTAGATGTTCTATTTCAAGAATTGCTTTGAAAAGCAGAACTTCAGAAATGAGGTGGTTTTGGGTTGAGGGTTGGACCAAGTGACCTTTAAAGGTCCCTTCCCACCCAAACCAGGCAGGGTTGTGCCCATTTCAGCTCTGGGATGGTAAATGAGGTCGATTCTTGCATTTGCTGTGGGCACTGGCTGTCTTCCCTCCCTGTATTTTTCATTTGCCCATAATTTCTTAATTTTAATTGTTATTTATTGTTATTTATTTATTTATTTTTAAAAAATATTTTTTATGTTTGTTTTTTTAAAAATTTGGAGTTGTTTTTCATCTGTATCAAACACATCTCCTGGTTACCAGTCGAGACACGGTGAAGCACAGCAATTCTCTGCAGGGTTGAGCTTTTCTCTTCCAAAAATATCCCGAGAGGGCTTAGTCTGGACTTTGTGATATCCCCGTTGGTGTGGGTGGACTTCTTCTGCCCAGTCATCGGTGGTGCAAGTTCATCCAGAACTCAAGGAGACAGGGTGATCTTTAAGGTCCCTCCCAACCCTGACAATTCTATGATTCTATGAAAGGAGAATACTCCATTTATCGAAGTAATTTGGAGGTTTTCAGTGCATAGAAAGCACACACTGGTGTGCAAGAGGCTTAATTACACTAAATCAATCACTGTTAAAGCAGAACAGACGGTTCAGCCAACAGTCGTTAAGCACTTGCAGGAGTTTTTACAACAGCAACAAAAAATAATTGAAATACTCTGCTGCCCACCCGATCCAGACATTTGAAAAATGCCTTTGCCCACAGAAAGTACTAAGGCTCTCCGCTCCCTGCACTCATTTTCGGTGAATTTTGAGACTCCGTGGGGCACGTTGAAAGACTCCACTAAAAACTGAAGGTGCTTTGTTGTCCTTTTTAACATGAACAGGTGAAGGAGCAATGTGGAAGATGCTCAACGCTCATGATTGATAGTTGATCCAGTTGGATGCATCCCCTAAATTAATACGTGAGGGCTTGCAGGGCCAGGAGCTGATGGAAGCTGGGCTGAGCTCTTCAGCAGAGACGTGGCTAAGAGCTCCTGTGTGCTGCACGTGGAGGATATGTCCCCCGTAGAAATTACTCCCAGAGAAGTGATGTGTTCAGGGCCAACGTCGTGGTAAACTGGGAACCGTTGGGTTTTGTGCCCAAGCTGCGTTAAAATTTGGCCAGAATTCTGGTCGTACTTGTATGTTTTGTAACGTGGCGCTGTTTTAAGAGTGCACGCGCCGTTTAGGATCACATGCGAACCGTGTGATGGGTAAAGTTTGCGTCAAGATGTTGCGACAGCCACCCTGGGTGTAAAATTAATGTGGCAGTGTCCTTGGCAGGGCTGGATGTTCTGACCCAAAAAAGAGGCGCATGTCGCTGCTCAAAAGCCTCTGTGGTCAGATTTGACCAAGCGCTGCTTGAACTACCTTTTTTTTTTTTTTCTCTGCTGAGATGCAGGATGGCCCCTGGAAAAAAAACAACAAACCCGCTTGAAATCACACCCACGTGACGGGTGAAAGCCGTTTTAGTTTTAGTTTTGGAGAGGTTTTTTTATTGAGAAGTTCAGACCTGTGAATAAATAGAGTGTGGTGTGGGATTTCAGATCAAAATCTTGTCTGTTCTGTGTCAATCACCAGAATAATTGCGGGTATCTAGGGCAAACCGTGCACCTTGCCACATCATCCTGCTTTTGTGGAGGGAGAAAAAGGTTCTGCTTGTGAAGGAACCGAGGCAGGGATGGAGAAAATCCAAGTTTGGGAGAGAGCATGGAGGGAGGATCGTGGGGCAGTTGCTGGTCTGCATATGATTCCAGTTCCTTTTTCTTCTTGTGGGTGGTTTTGTTTTTGACACATACGGAAAGTGGGAACATCATAACCTTGAAGGAAATGGTGATACGTTTCCAAAAAGAGCCGTTTTGATGGCTGGGCCGGGAGCAGGAGAGGGAATGAAGCCGGGAAGAACCCATGAGTCAGCCTCGGTGGGCAGCAGGGGAACCACGAGGGGTTGCCACCATCCTCCTGGTAATAATCTTCTTCTCTTCTTGGGATAAAAGTCACTATTTCATTGTATTATAAAGAAAAAAATACCCTTGGGATGGTCTTTCTGCGAGCAGAAAGCCCGGTGGTTTTGGAGCAGAGCTCCCATCGTGTTGGAGCGGTGGAAAATGTTCCCTGGCAGTGGCTGCAGTAGAGATCTGCTATGGGAGGGACATCTGCCTCTTCTCATAGGTTTCATTTGTCAAGTTTTGAAGGAGCACTGATTAAAAAAAAATAAAATATTTCAGGTCTTTAAATCTCCCCTTAAAATCCCACTTAATATGTAGTCAGTTGTGTTGACCAAAGAGCTTTCAGCCTCTGGAGTCTACGGTGGCCTAAGCCTGGTTGTAAAGTTTTCTGACAGTTTTTAGGCTGCGTTTATAAAAAAGCCAGTGTGAATATTGAAGAAAATGATGATAATAAATGAAATTCTTGGGAATCACACTGTACCTCACTCAGGCTCTGCAGAGGTGGAGCCATTTTTGTGCCACTGCAGAGCTTCAAAACCAGATGTTGCGCCTCTACAAGGGGCTGTTCGTGAGTTTGTGACCTAAGTTCCTTGTGAAATAGTAGGAGAGGTGAGATTTTGACGCAGACAATCGCGTTGGTCATTACCGGGGTGTTCTGTTCTTAACTAAGGACCCGTAGACAGTAGTCTGGAGGTGGTTGATCGTCTCTTCTCCTGGGTTGGGTTGAGGCTTTCTGGTTTTGGGCATCAGTTTTCCAAAGACAGCCCAAAAATGCAACATGAGGTACATCACTTCTTCTGAAGGGAAGAGGCGGGTGATTTTTGCATTGTGTAATGAGCTGAGGGAAATTTGAATTGCCTCGTGACTCCAACTTGTTTTTCACCCTTGGGTCATGGGGCTTGGCACAGAGCAGATGATGATAATTAACCCAAACCAGCTAAATCTGGGAGGATTCTGAAATTTTTCTACAACTCAGGTGGGCTAAAGTGGCTGCTTTTTGTCTTTGAGGGGCAAAAATAGGTATTTTTGCGTGTTTGTCAGCACAGAAATTGTGAAGCAGTTTCTGATGATGCGCGTTCATCCAGACACTCCTTCCAATAGGGTTTTATCTGAAACCCCGTCAAGTGACGGTTTCTGGTTACAGTTTTGTCATGCCTGTCACTTTTATCTTTCTCTACTGCTTAAATGTCAGGTTCCATGCATTTTACTGCCTTCCCTTTCTTTGTACTACTACAATGACTTGAGCTACCTTCTTCCCTTGAACACCCTCTCTCTAAAGGAGATTTTTTCTAATCCCTATGTGAGCATCTGGAGAGTTTCCAGCTGCTCACAAGCTACAAAACAACACTCAAGTGGCTTTGCAGTTCTGGTCGGTTGGTTTATCCATATGAGCTCTTTTCTTATAATATTGCAGGTGTAATGTGCTCCTCTGTCTTTACTGCAATCTTGCGCTGTTTTATGTTGAGGCTTGCGGCAAGATCTCTTCAAAACTGCCTTCGCTGCACGTAAGCAGAAAGAAAGAGCTTGGGGAAGTGTGAATGTGAGAGGTGTTAGGAGAATCAAAGCTGCAGTTCTGCAAGACCGCTGGAGGAATGGTGAAGAACTCATTAAAAAATGTGTAAATGTAGTTTAAAAAAGAAACAAAAAACCCCAACAATCCACAAAATCTGCCTTACTTTTGGAAGAGC